ACTTCAGCGCAACCACGCAAAAGAGTCCTGCGTGAAGTTCTTGTGAGAGAGCGGTCCCGGAATGACATATATTATATAATATAGTATAATCTGGGTCTCTTAAGACAAGCTTCTTTCTGTTTGAGCGGGCAATCGGTTCATGATTACACCAAGTGGGTGGGATACCAAAGATCCCACCATTTCTCCTGAGGCTCGGCAAGTGACCCAGGAGGCCAAGCAGAAGGTGAGCGGAGCGGCGGAGAAGGCGAAGGCGGAGCAGAGCGCTGGGAGGTGTCGCTTCGATCCACTTTTTTCTTGTGACCTGGTGTTTCATTTTGTCAAAAATCTTCAATGGAGAAGCCAGGACTCCTCAAGAAGCGATTTCTTACACCGACCTATTTTTTTTGGGCGGGCGGGGAGTGGCAGTGGTTTTCACTCAAGCCCAACAGGCGGAAGAAGAGATCCACGCCGATTTTCCAGGGATTTCGGAATTATGCCAGGCGGCTCCGAGGGTCGGAGGCTCTTCCTCGGGAAGCGGGCCGGCGGCCGCGGGGTTCGGAGGCTGCGGCCCCTTCCGCATCGCAGGAGGGTCTGGCATCGATGTCCAAAGGCATGGCGACGCTTTTCAAGTCGCGGTAGCCAAAAGGGGTGTGCGTCGTGCGGAAACGGATGGTTTCCGCGCGGAAACCAAAATGACATGTGACTTATGACTCCTTTGGTCACCTTTGTTCCAGAAACCCGCTCGTGATACCTCCTAGAGCCAGGAACCAGAGATCATTGTGGAAATTTACCATATAGGCAGTCACTCCAAGCACTCCCACGTTGCTAGAACCAGGGCTTTCAAGACCTGTCAAGCGGCATGCAGGTTGTCCGTTTTTTGGTGTGTCTTTGGAAGGCAGACTTGCCGGGTGTTTGGGGGGGGAGAACGTCGCCAAGAGACCTGGCACCCCCGCCAGCAGGAGGATGAACAGAATCTGGGAACCACCTGAAACCACGTCAGCTTCGACGTCGCGGTCGCACTTCAGCTTCGATGAGGAAACGCTTCGCTGCGGTCTGCGTGTCCAGAGGTTTCGACCTGTTCGCCCGTACGCCCCACGAACCCTCCGCGCCATGGCGCTCGCCTTTGCGGTGACTGGACCAACAGCTCCCACGCGGGCAGAGCTGACACAGGGAATGCCAGCGGAGAGACCGGCTGAATGGAAGACTTCGGCCACTTGGGTTTGCAGGAGTTGGGTTTCAGGTTGCGGTTGCATGAGTCACGGAATGGACACCTCCTCATGGCATCTAGAGCCCCTCCGGCTCCTCATCAGTTGGTCATGTTGGAGGAGGGGGTAGGTTAGTGTAGCCTAGTGGAGGATGGTGGAGCCATGTCGAGCCATGTGGAGCCAGTTGATGCGTATCCGGCCCCATCCCTCCCGTGCCAGGTGAATCTGGCCTTCACCAGCATGGCCTTCACTGCGGTGGCCGCGCGGTGCGCGCGGACTCGCGCTCCGTTCCGCGCTCTTCGTCGCGCTCGTCCCGTGCCCGGGTCAATGGCGGTGGTGGGCTCACCGACTGAGACCTATGAGGAGTTGGTGCAGACCTCTGTCAAGCTGCGGGATGAAAGTTGGCAAAAGCGACACGGCGCAGTCGCAGTCGGTTTCTGTGATAGGTCGACTTGAAAAAGGTGGCGCAGTCGCGATTGGTCTCCGAGCTGATGTGATAAGTGAGAAGAGGCAACTACGAGGTCTGCACATCTTTAGAGTGCTTCAATTTCTCCAGGATGATTTGCACCTAGTGACACCTACAAGATCCTACACGCAAGATTGAAGGGTAGCCGGTCAGTGTAGCTGAAGTCCGTGGCTTTGAAGCTGTGCGAGCTGTCGCGTGCTCGTGTCGGTCTGTTTTTCACAGCGGCCCAGCTGATCGGCCAGTGGGGAGTGCATCCTGACCCATGGCCCTAGTGACCTAGTGGCCACGATGCCAAAGAGTGGAACAAGTCAAGACCTCCCAGCAATCTCCAACAATGAAGCTAACACAAACGATTACACCAACTCAACTGCGGATGACCACAACTAAGATGCATATGGAACATGCACCTCCAAAACGCCCCATAGTTCCTCGCCCAAGCGGTGTTTTTCCATGCCCATGTGTGTGTGTGCCAATGTATACCATGTCCTTGTGGACTAGGGACCCCTTTGGCTATGTACACCAAGGACCTTCTTTGCATCCTTCATGGGCGGCTCATATGTGGGGATGGCCTGCCTGCTCTCCTTCGTGATCGGTGGAAACATCTTCCACAACTATCTCACACGGTTCCTTGCCTCATCTCTCGATGCTCTGTTGAGACAGAACACCCCTTGCTTGGGCCATCGGCGGTTGGGATGCTATGGGCCATCAGACGGGTTTTGCCATCCGAAAGGGAGCAGAAATGTGAGGCTGCTTGCCCACGGATTTGGGTGTCAGGGGTTTGAGGGCACTCATGGGTAATAAGGGGCTGACTGAGAATTCAATACTATTGTTTCTGTTTAACATGTTCAAAGGATATTCTACGATGAAGTACCAAATCTAGACCTTGGCACATGTTCTCTCATCTAGAATCTAGAATGTTCACTCATCAGATTGCCAAAGCTACACAGCAAGGAAGACGCCCGCTCCAGACAGAAAAATTACCTCACGTGTTCCTTTACTCTCCGCTCGAAGGCTTCAATTTCTTTTCAAGAGTTTCATTGACAAATGGCAGGGCAAAACGCTGCGTGCTTCTCTCGACCCAAACGCTGCCATCGAAAAAGACATGGCAACGGTTGGATGTGTAGATTTCACAGGGAGATCCCCAACCAATGGGTTTTTGGCCTTTGTCGTTTCTCGCACGCGTCGCATGCTATGGACACCCTCAGCTAAGCGAAGGTGCACATAATTAGATCCTCAGCATGGGTTTGGGTCTATTTTCCTTCTTTCCAATGTTAACGCATCCAACAATGACCATGCCGTGGTAGTTCGATCTGTTTCACTGGCCTATCCCTACCTCTAGGATGGCGGTCTTCGCTACGCTCTTCCCAGTGAATCTACTTCTGATCCTGCAGAGTGGTGGACAGCTCTTCACAGGGAACTCGGCCACAATGGCCATGGGCGTGTTGGAGAAGAAGGTGAGGGTTAAGGTGAGGGTACATGGGGTGGGGAAGCAGATCGATATTTTTGTTGGGGGGGAGGACCTTGGGTGGGATGATGGAATGGCTTTAGATTGTGGAGGACTTGATAGGGAGTTGGAAGCTGCGTTCTTTGAGGAAATCCTGACTCTGTCTCTGTATAGATGTGGACAGAGGGATGATGGTCATTCATTGCACTAGGAGTTGGCGGAACGTGTTCATCAAGCGAAAAGCAGCAGGGAATTGACTGAAGCAAATCTAGTTATACCGACGGTATAAGTCGTTTCAATCAAATTCACTCACCTCATCTAGTTTAATCAAACATGACAACTCACGAAGCCAGGCCCATTGCGTTTTGTCACAGGAACTCATTCGCAACTGGGCCATTGCCTATGCTGGAAATATTTTGGGCTGTTTGACCATCAGCGTTTTGGCCAACTACTGCGGCTTGATCACTGGAGGCCTGGGGCCCAGTTTTTCAGCCTCTTTGGCTCTCAAGTTGCGTCAGTTGGATTCCTCATTAGGTGGTTTCCCTTGAAACGTGCTGAATGGATTTACTTTAGGGCTCCCTATGCTAACTAGGAGGACGGACTTTTCACATGCTCACCAGTTTCCAAGGAATGGCAATCCCTCAGTTTTGGGTGCACGGGGTGAGCAGCAGAACATCGGCGTGAGAAGCACGGGGTTCGCTCATGAGATCACCTTGTTGCTGACCCTCTGATATTGGACAAGCCCTTTTGCTTCGTAGAGGAACGCATGGGAACACCGTTGCCCAAGGGGCCAGTTAGGCCACTTGGTCCATTTCCCTAGACTAGGGGAGGGAGGATGAGGGAGGGAGCTCTGCGTTTCCGGCGTTTCCCACCAGTTCTGGACCTGCTCTGCTCAGCTCGGCAGGCGCCCGTGACATGGTCCTGGACTTGGTGGCTCAGAAGGTCAGCGGAGCCTTTGGGCCAACCTTCGTGAAGGTGCCGCCTAGAGAGTGCTCGGCCTCCAACCTAATGGCGATGGCCTCCAACCTAAAAAACATGGCCTCCAACCGCAACCTATTAGCGATGCCCGGAGGAGGGGGGGTGGAGCTTAGAGGTGGTGTCCTGACATCACCATGCATCACGTGAGAAAGGACCCAAAGAAGGAGATTGTTGGGGCACCTTGACAGACCTTTGGACAGGTCTTGTTTGGGAGTGACTTTAATGTTGGGGTGCAGTACGGTTGATAAATCCTCACTTGTCACCTTGAGTCGAAAATAGACCAACAACTCCTAGACCGCCGGGCAAGTCGGCTTCGCACCTGCACGCACCGACCGGCGAACCCCCAACAGCATGCACGGATGCTGGGCACCAGGTTTTTTCGGGTCAGGTGGGGTTCCCTGGCAGGGGGTGATGTGCAACTGGTTGGTGTGCATCTCCCTGTGGCTGTGCACCATGGCTCGGGGTTTGGGTGGCAAGATGCTGGGCGCTTGGCCTCTTGGAACGGCACGTGCCATGCGGCATGCGGAGGGAGAGGGGGTCGAATGGATGTGGTGGGGTTGAGGAAGGATTCAGAGGTCGATGAAGAATTTGTTGTGTTATGTTGTGTTTATATGTATATATACATATGTGTGTGTGAGTGTTTTCTTTTGGGGTGGGGGGGTGCATTTGTATATTGTTGTGCTGGAGTTTGCCGTGTGAAATGGGTGGTCTGCTCGCGTGACACCTTCATACCATTTCATACCCTTCATACCTGGCATTTCCCGTTGTCTTGCCCAAGGATGACTCCGTAGGAGCTGGAGAAACAAACAGACTAGACGGTCGCTCCAGTGTTGAACAATTGGATGCCACCTTGAATCCGCTCCTCCGCGAGCTCGCAGCTCGCAGCTCGCCGCTCGCCGACGCCGGTCGGGTCGTGCCGAGGTTCCCGGTCTCGATGTTTGTCGCCATTGGCTTTGAGCACTCCGTGACCAGCATGTTCATCCTCCCCGCAGGTCTCCTTTTAGGCGGCGGGAGGATGAACCATGTGGAGTCCGTTCCATGCCAAAACGGAGGAAACAAGGCAAAACGGATCAATCCGAGCTACCAAAGTGTACTACCTTTTCATAGATTTGCGGGGGGGGTAGGCTTTCCACCTTTGTTGCGCCAGGAGATTCCCGCCTGAACTTCCAATTATATACAGAAACTAGACATCATGGCCGCGGCCAAGAGTCCTCACAAGACTCGATGGCTGAGCCACCATCCGTAGCGCAGTTTGTTGGCATAGGCATTTCTATGCACCGCTTTTCTTTCGAAAACTGTGTAGATTTCTGGCTTGGTGACCCTATGACATCCGTTTGAAGACAACCCCACCCCCTTTACCCTTTGCGCTCTTTGACCACCATGCAGTTTGTTGCCGCCTTTTTCCAGGCACGCCCTTCTCATGGATGCAGCTGCTGAGCAAGAATCTCATTCCGGTGACCTTGGGCAACGCAGCTGCCGGCGTCTTCGTGGTCGCGGCCAGCATGTCCTTCGCCTTCGGCCGCTTGGGGCGATTTGGGTCGAAGAGAAAGTCCACTTGGGCCAGGACACCATGGGGGGAGGTCGTTGTGGCCTAAAGACTTGGCCATGACTGATGGGACAGACAATGCCAAATCCATCAGCTGCACCTTCCTCAGGCGGCCCAGGCGATCCGTTTCTTTGTTGTGGATTTCTTTCAGAAAGTCTGAAGGCGTCATTTTTACGATGCTTGGTGATGTTTGGTGCATGTGTTTGACCGTTGGATCGCAGTGAATCGAGGCACGTCACCACACAGTTGGTGGCGGACTTGCAATTTTTGGAACTCGTGCCTTTGAACACGTGCCTCTGACGGGCCAGACGTTCACATCGGATGGTCTGTCGGAATGGAGATGAAATGTTTAACTTGGGCCCCTGCCCAGCGAAGTGCTCTCACATGAGCAATTGCATGTGGGCGGGGGAACACCCCAGTTCCAGTCCCCTTTGTGTTTGTTGATCGGCCTGTGCCCCCATCGATCCGGGCACAGGATGCCCACATGCTTTCGAAACAGGTGTGCTTGATTTTAGTTGAATACCACTGCACCCCCTGGTAAGACTCCCAAACACTTTGTAAGGTGCATGGCATAGGCCCAATGCAACACCCGGTTTCCACAGGTTTTGGGGGGCCTTGTTTCGTGGCATTGGGTGCCTGCGATTTTCGGGCAAGGACCCGGGCCCTTGCATATCGTGGAAATAGGATGGGGTGCTTACATTCCGGATGCTTTCGCTCCCTGAGCAACATTTTACGCAATGGTTCCTGGAAAAATAAACATGGGAGTTTTTTCTCATCGCCACATCGCTCCTTTTTCCATCATTGCGGGCACATTTGCACAGATCGGACAGAAGATTTTATCAAGTGCTATGCCATGAATACACCATGGCAAGGCAGAGGCGACGAACCCACAAACCGCCGCTATACCATATTCTTAATTTGGAGGAAAAGAACTATTACAGTATACATCATGAATCATGTCATATATTACACATATAGATACAAAAGTAGAGAAATGCCGCGAACTGAAGGGGTGGGGGAAGGGAGACGTGGAGGTGCAACGAAAGGGGCATAAGGTATCCAAAGAAGGTTGCATGTGGGGAGTGTGTGTGTGTGTGTCACACTCTGTTCCTAAGAGTTTTCCACAAGCAGGGGACCAGGCAGGATGCATCGTCGCCTGGTCAACGAAGCTGGCGATGCATCCGAGGATATGGAAATGGGACGCCATTTCGACGGGCATAGGTATCAACAAAAAATATGTATCGAAACAATAAAAATTATTTACCGAATCAAAAAGAAATACTTACTGAATCAATAAAGAATATTCGTTGTGCGATAGAATCCCTTGGAACTCCCAGTCGTGTAGTGTAGGTGGCCGGTCCTCTGGTCCGCTGGTCCCCTGGTCCTCTGGTCCTCTGGTCCGCTGGTCCCCTGGTCCGCTGGTCCTGGTCCGCTGGTCCCCTGCAGTCCGCTGGTCCACTGGTCCGCTAGTCCCTTGGTCCTCTGGTCCTACGTGGATTCGATATGTGTTTTGCAAAGCTAACAAACAAGCAAGCAAGCAAGGAAGCAAGCAAGCACGAGCTGCTCACCTTTGGATCTGGTGTGCTGCTGGGGGGGGCGCTGCGCCCCCCCCAACCCCCCCGCGCCACGAAATCTGCACTTCATCCCCGGCACCCGCGCCTGCCACGAAATCAATATTTTAAGGTGAACTCCCCAGTGCAAATTTTTCTAACCAAGTAAATATGCCTCCTCTATCTCTCTATGTATCTATCGATCCATGTATCTTTCTATCTTTCTATCTGTCTATCTGCAGTTCAACATCCACAAAGTACTACACCTACACTTCCACATCAAAAACTCCTGCGCCTGCCACGAAATCTGCACTCCAAGGCCACGAAATACTACGACTACCACTACGATACTGCTGCTATTATAGTACTGTTGCTGCTCTTACTGCTACTGCTATTTGGAATATTTTTTCCCGAATGCGTAGCGAAGGGTTCTCGTTTAACTCTGGGGGTCTGGGGGTAGAGTCTTGTTCGCGATCCGTTGTTTCTATGTTCGCAACCGTCCGCAACCGTTCGCAACCGTCCGCAACCGTTCGCAACCGTTCGCAACCGTCCGCAACCGTTCGCAGTAGGACGCTAAGGCGCTGCCATTGGGGGAAGCTTTTGCAAGTGACTTTTCATGGATGTGTCACGTGTCAGTTTGCGACGCTATTCCATTGTGATTTGCATGAAAATGACATGTCGCGCAAGAAGCGTGATGCATTTCGCTGCACAGGCGCAGTGGTTTGAGAGATCCGCAGTTTACTGCGCAGTTCCATTGGGATTAGCGTTTGGAGAGTCGTGTTTTTGGGGTGTTGGGTGTGGCCGTGCCATTGGGATTTGCATTTCAGGGTGTGGCATCGAAGCTCTGTTTTCGCGACAAGTCTCAGCTGAAATGGTGATTTTGGTGGATGGGAGTGTGCTCAGAACGGGTCGAAATCATTCTAAACGTGTGGTGTGGTGCAAATTTTGTTGAAGCTCATGTGAGATGATATTCTCACTTTTCGTGGCAGGCACAGTACTTTGTGCTGATTTTGAGGTGTGGAAGTGCGATTTTCGTGGCAGGCGCAGGAAATCGTGAGGTTGCGAGGTGTGACGGAGTTGACATTTCGTGGCAGGCGCAGTACTTTGTGCGCGTTAGACGTGTGGATGCGGAAAGATTCGTGGCAGGCGCAGGGAATCGTGAGGTTGTGAGTTGTGGTAGAGGTGACTGTCGTTGTCTCATTGGGATTGGCGTGTGAGCGGGTGTTGTTTGGAGGGGCTGGAATCGCGAAACTGCTTGGCAGGGCTGCGTGATGTGTGTGCTCCGATGGGTGTTTCCGCTTGACTTTTGGAGGAAGTCTCGTACGAAACGCTCGTTTTGGAGACTTTGACACGTGAGTTTTTGAGGAAGTCTCGTACGAAACGCTCGTTTTGGAGACTTGACATATGGCTTTTGGAGGAAGTCTCGTACGAAACGCTCGTTTTGGAGACTTGACGTGTGACTTTTGGAGGAGGTCTCGTACGAAACGCTCCGTTTTGGAGACTTGACGCGTGACTTTAGGAGGAAGTCTCGTGCGAAACGCTCGTCTTGCAGCCTCGAAGCGTGACTTTTGGAGGAAGTCTCGTACGAAACGCTCGCGTGACTGCTTCTAGTGTGTGGGCAGACCGTGTCGCGACACGAGTGTCCCACAAGAGTGTCCCACAAGAGTGTTCCACAAGAGTGTCCCGCAACCGTGTCCCACAAGAGTGTCTCACAAGAGTGTCCCTTAAGAGTGTCCCACAAGAGTGTCCTATAAGAGTGCCCCACAAGAGTGTCCTACAAGAGTGTCCCACAAGAGTTTCCTACAAGAGTGTC